CCGCCGGCTCGCCGCGCACCTCGCGCTCGCCGCCCCGAGGCCTTCCCGAGGCCCAGACCCCCCGCCCTGGACGCGGCCCGCGCTACCTGCGGATTGTGGAGGGCCATGGCGGCCCGTCTCAATGAGGCTCGGCGCTGCTCCGGCTCCTCACGCCGCTTCCCCCGTCGCCGCCATCTTCTCGCCGCACAGACACACTCGCATCGGCCGCGGCGCCTGCGCACTGACCGCGCCGCGGGAGAGCAGGCGGCGTTCTGCGCCTGCGCGCGACAGGTGGGCGTGCGCCCCAGCCTGCGACCCTTCCGCCCGCGGCGCGTGGAGGGGCGGCCGCTCCCGGCGAGGGCGTGCGGATGGAGGTGGCCACGCATCCCCCAGGCTGCAACGTGGGGCCCCAGCGTGAGCTGCGCAGCAGCCGCGTCAAGTCGGCCCTGAGAAATCTCCACTGGAAATTCCCCACGGCTCCTTTACCTTATGGAGCGCGCTCTTCTGACGGTTCATTCATTTCTTCACTCTTCATTCCCTGCACAAGCTTTGCCTGGCATTGGCGGGGAGGGGAATGTTTTTGTTTGTAAAGCTTAGGAATAAACGTTGAAGGAGCCGGTGAAATGACTCAGCGGGTAATGGAGCCTGCCTCCTTTACCCTTGACGACCTGAGTTCCATCCTTGGGATTCACATGGCAGAAAGGGAAAACTGAGTTGTCCTCTGACATACACAAGGGCGCACACAAAATAAACTAGTTAATTCATTTAAAAAAGATGTCTCTGATCGGGATTGTTCTCCTGTGATCTCAGTAGCAGAGGCAGGAGGGTCATCCATGAATTGCAGACTAGTCTACACACCAAGTTCCAGGCCACACTGAGCTATATAAGGTGACTCTGTCTCAAAATAAATGAATGAATGAATGAATGAATGAATGAATAAACAAATAAATAAATAAATACTCGTGTTGAGGTTCTAGCACATTCTGCAGTAGATGTTACCTATAGCACAAACACACGGGTGCATACAGGCAGAACGGCTGTTGACTTATCACAAAAGCAAGAAACCCTTGCTGAGCACTCTACCTGACTGCACCCTCTCAGCTCATGGGTCCACCGTCCCCATTCTGTGTGGCTTCAGACAAATTACTGCCCTTTCCCTCAGTCTCTGCACCTGTGACTGAATGAACAAAGCATCTTAACTCGAGGTCTTATTTCTTGATATTTTGCCCAGCTCAAGCGCACTTCTCTGCACTTAATGTGTTTCACGGCATCCCATTTCTCCCACCCACCTTTTTTTTTTTTATGGTTTTTCGAGACAGGGTTTCTCTGTGTAGCTTTGTGCCTTTCCTGGATCTCACTCTGTAGACCAGGCTGGCCTCGAACTCACAAAGATCCACCTGGCTCTGGGATTAAAGGCGTGTGCCACCACCACCTGGCTATTAGTCAAACATGATACTGCTTAGCTTCAGAGATGAGGCATGTCCAGGTAGAATGTCCATAGACTCTTGGCATCTCATTTCTGAGAAGCCAGGCTCACTGTTTTATGGACTGTGGGAATATTGTGTCTGACTGTTAATACGCCCTACTTAGCCCAGCGCCTGACACTAGCAGGCTCTCTGTAGATGCTTGTTGGACAAATGGAATCAGTCATGACAGTTATCAAAAATCATCCCAGCACCTGGTTTTTCCAGAGAGTTGTCTTGACCAGTGTGTTCCCACAGGTAAGAGGGGTTGGAGGCATAGTTCAGTAGGAGTGGTAGGTTCTAATGCCGGCACCACGCACAAAGATGATTAGTAAACAGACATTGTATTTGCTGAACAAATTTGTGTTTGCCTGTAAATCCTAGCACTCAAGACTCAAGAGGCTGAGGCAGGAGGGTCAGGGCAAGCTCAAGTACAGAGCAATAATAAGTCTCAGGCCAGCCAAGGTTAAAAGTAAAACCCTTTGAGGTTGGGAATGTAACTCAGTTAACAGAGTTCTTGCTTAGCACACATACATGAAGCCCTGGGTTCCACCCCAAGCACCAAATAATCTGGATGTGTTGGCACACTTTTGCAATCCAAGAACTGAAGAGGAAGAGGCAGGAGGATCACCCTCAGCAATGTAGCAAGTTTGAGGCCATCCTAGGCTACATAAGACCCTGTCTCAAAAACAAACAAAACAATAATAACATTATGGACATGGCTCAACAAGCTGGCTCACCTGTTGCAAGCCGGACAACCTGAGTTCCATTCCTGGGACATTCATGATAGAAGACAACCAACTTCACAAAAATTGTCCTCTGACTTCCACACCCACACAGGTACAATAGAAAATAAACATTGTTTATGTATTTTATGTTAGGTGTATGGGTGTTTTATCTGCATTTATGTCTGTGCAGTGTGTGTATGCAGTGTCTGCAGAATTCAGAAGAAGGCATCAGATCCCCTGAAACTAGGATTATAGATAGTTGTAAGCTGCCATGAGGCTGAATCAGGGTCCTATGGATGAGCAACCCGTGCTCTTAATCACCAACCCATCTCTTAGCCCCTAAAATAAACATTTTAAAAATAAATGAATGAGCTTAAAAAAAAAAAACAAACCAACAACAACAAGAACACACACACATACACAAATATAGGGCCTGGACAGATAGCTGAGCAAGTAACAAAATGTACTACTCTTGGGGAAGACCCAGGTTCAGTGCCCAGCACCCACATGGAGCAGCTCCTGTAACTCCCGTTCCAGCTCGGGTACAGAGTAATAAGTCTCAGAACAGCCTATGGTAAAAGTTAAACCCTTTGAGGTTGGGAATGTAACTCAGTTAACAGAGTTCTTGTCTAGCACACATACACAAAGCCCTGGGTTCCACCATCTTCTGGTCTCCTTGGGCACATATACTCACATTCAGATACCAGCACAGATGCACAGATATACACATAATTGAAAATAAAATAATGAAAGGAAAATTTAAAAATAAAGCACGTAACAGTCAATATAATGCGTCAGCCTTGATGGGGTGGTCGTGTGCTTTGAGTTAGCTTTCCTTTTTTTCTTGTTCTCAGAAGGGAGCCATTGTGCTGCCTGGGCTGCTCTCAAACCCCAGAGGTCAAGTGCTTCCCCCACCTACCCAGCGCTAGAATATAAGCAGGCGCAACAAGCCGCGTTTACTTTACTGTTTCTTTTCTGACAACTGGAGATATTCAGATATGGATGGACCCCGTGGGTGGTTGGTGTCTTGCTAATTTTAGAATGCAGAAGTGGTACTGAGCTGTCAGCCCAGCACTCCTAAGATTGAGGCAGGGAGATCATGAGTTCAAGGGCACCCTGAACCACAGAGCCAGATCCTGCCACAAAAGAAAAGAAGAGGAAGAAGAAGAAGGAGCAGAAGCAGGAGGCATGGTGGTGTGCACCTTCTATCTCAGCACACAGGAGACAGAGGCAGGTAGATTTCTGTGAGTTTGAAGCCAGCCTGAGTATACTAAGGGAATTCCAAGCCAGGCAGGGCTCTGCGATGCATGGTGAAGCCTGTCTCAAAATAAATAAATACATGTAAAGAGAAGATTATGCTCATTGCTTTATTGTTGGAAGACACATCCTGAAAAGTTTCAGAGTAACTTATCAGTGTCTGCCAAAAGTTTTCAGTGGTTCAGAATGCAAAAAAAGTGAAAAATATATTTGCAAGCAAACAGGGAACTAAAATGTAGCAAAGTGTTAACTGTAATGGGATTTAAGTGATACTATATTTCAATTTTTCTCTACAAAACATTTTACAACAACAACAACAAAAAAAAAATTACGCCGGGCGGTGGTGGCGCACGCCTTTAATCCCAGCACTCGGGAGGCAGAGCCAGGCGGATCTCTGTGAGTTCGAGGCCAGCCTGGTAGGCGCAAAGCTACACAGAGAAACCCTGTCTCGAAAAACCAAAAAAAAAAAAAAAAAAAAATACAAAAAAAAAAATTACATTAGCTGGGGGGTGGGGGGGGGGTACACGCCTTTAATCACTCAGGAGACAGAGGCAGGTGGATCTCTGTGAGTTCGAGGACAGCCTGGTCTACAGAGTGTGTTCCAGGACAGGCACCAAAGCTACACAGAGAAACCCTGTCTCAAAAAACAAAAACAAACAAACAAAACATTATATTACAATGGCTATAATATTGTTATTATTGTGTTATTGTATCTATGCTATGATGGTGACAGAAAAGCTAGATCTCCACAGGGACAGATACTTAAATACACAGAAAACCTTATAGGCAGATGCTGGAAACATGGTTTAGTAGCTCTGTTCCCAGCACACACATGGTGGCTACAACCATCTGTAATGCCAGTTTCAGGGGATCTGACGCCCTCTCCTGGCCTTTGCGTGCACCTGCACTCACATGTAGGTATTCTGGTAGACATACACATAAGTAAAGATAGTCGTTTAAAAAAAAAAAAAAAAAAAGCCGGGCGGTGGTGGTGGCGCACGCCTTTAATCCCAGCACTAGGGAGGCAGAGCCAGGCGGATCTCTGTGAGTTCGAGGCCAGCCTGGGCTACCAAGTGAGTCCCAGGAAAGGCGCAAAGCTGCACAGAGAAACCCTGTCTCAAAAAACCAAAAAAAAAAAAAAAAAAAAAAAAACCCACGGCCAATTCACATAGTAGTGTCTGTTTGACTTCTAATCAACACTGCATGAACACGAAATGGAAATATGATAGTAAACAAGATCTAAACATAGTTTTCTTTTCTTTCTTTCTTCTTTATTTTTGGACAGGGTCTGTCTACATAGTCCTGGCTGTCCTGGAACTCACTATGTTATGTAGACCAGGCTGGCCTTGAACTCACAGAGATCCTCCTGCCTCTGGCAGAGTGGTTTGCTGGGATCAAAGGTGTGAGCCAGGGGAGCTGGGGATATAGTTCAGTGGTTAAGAGCACTGGCTACTCTTCCAGAGGACCTAGGTTTGATTCCCAACACACCTATGGCAGCTCACAACTGTCTGTGACTTCAGTTCCAGGAATCTGATGTCCTCTTCTGGCCTCTGTGGGCACCAGGTACACATACATGTAGGCAAAATACCAAGAAACAGGAAAATATATTAATTTTTCAAAAAGGCATGAGTGAGTCACCACACCTAGCCAGCTTTAATTTTCAAATAATTCTCAGAGATGTTAACACAAGACTTCAAAACAAATAGATAAACATTAAAAGAGATTGTGGGAGAGGAGGAGAGATGCCTCAGAGATTTAGGAGACCTGGCTGCTCTTCCAGAGAGCTGGCTGGGTTTAGTTTCTAGAATGCACATGGTAGCTCATAACTTCTGTTGACTCCATTGTTGGAAGATCCCAGGGAATCTGATACTCTGTCTCAGCAGACACAGGGCACACCTGGTACGCAGACATACATTGAGGCAAAACACCAATACCCGGAAAACACTTTTTTTTTTCTTTTGGTTTCAGGTTGTTTGTTTGTTTGATTGTTTAAGACCGCGTTTGCCTCCCAAGTGCTAGGATTAAAGGCGTACACCACCACACCTGGGTAATTTTATAATACTTTTTTTAATTCAAGAGAAGGCTAGGGTTGGTGGCTCACACCTTTAATCCCAGTACTTTAAAGGAAGAGGTAAATGGATCTTAGTGAGTTCAAGGCCAGTCTAGTCTACATAGTGAATTCCAAGACAGCCAGAGCTACAGAGAGAAACCCCATCTCATTT